ACTTAAATATTTATGTTTATATAATATTTATAAATAATGCTTATAATAATAAATAAAAAAGAATTTTCGAACGTCGAATTACACAATGACCCTATGATTTTTATTTTCTTTTTGACATACACTTCATAATTTAAAATTTTTTAAAATTTTGGATAGATTTTGAGGATTATGCTTTAAGTCTTTCTTTAAGAATGTCATTTTGATAAGAATCGCATCACTAAGAATGTCATTTCTGATAAGAATCGCATAACTTTGTTGGTTCATTACAGGCGATTCTCTAGTATCACCTGGATTTTTGAAGGTCAGTTTACTCTCAGACAACTGTTTCCGAATGAAAGCAACAATCTACTGAAACATTCTGCCGTTAACGTTATAAGACAATTTAATAAATTCTGAAAATAAGGAAGATTTTGGTTCATATAGGAAAGGGGAAAATACAACATCTTCGAAGAATCTTTCTTGTACTGAAACTTTTCGCTTTTCAAATTATCATTTTTTAAATTATCAAAATATTCTCACTTTTTTTTGATATTCTTTTCTAATTTATCTTTATTATCATCGTTAATGAAATCGTTTAGATCGGACTAGGTCGTCTTTTTTTTATAAAGTTAATAAAGTTCCGCAAATGTGCAGACAAGCCAAGCCACAGCATACATATAATACCTTATATATAAATATATATTAAATACTTAATATATTAATGCTAGCATCTCTTCGAAACCATTGCTGTGCAGTATATTGGCCACAAAAATGCAAATTGTTTTCTTAGATAGAAGACAAGATTCCTGAGAAAATCGATGCAGTTTTTTTTTAAAGAGCGTTCATCATTCATTACTGGTTGGACTTGGTCCGCTGGCTTGCTAGACTTGATATATATGCCAGAAAATCCACTTGCGATAGAAATACAGGCATGACTCGCAAGCACCATCCGGATTTTTAGACAAGTTACTCCTGCCAGGAATGAAACCTTAGCATTGGCGCTCCGAATTAAGCAACAACCCACTGAGTTATTCAACTTTCCATTGCCTTCTCCGTTGAGCGATACTGCCGCTCGACGAAGTGTGGTGTGCTCGGATGGATCGGAACCGAAGTCTCGATTCTCGGTGAAAGTTATCTTGTCACTATCGTCATTTCATTACTATTGTTTTTTCATTTTTTCTAATTGGAATTGAATACATTTGGCATTATATCTCATCCACACAATAATGATCTCCTTCTAGCAGCCCACACCATTGCTAATTAATGTGCCTCTTCCTACAAGGGCAAGGCACTTCTAAGCTATTCGATCCAGAGCCCAACAATAATAGGAATCGTTCCTTTTTCCATCGTCTAAACCCGAATATCGCTTCTAAATGTTCAAAATCACTTCTGATCAGAATATGAAAGAAATACATTCAGCAATATGTAGAATATTGTCAATTTCCTGCATGAAAAATTAGAGTCTAACAATATTTTTTCATGAATTTGCTGTATTTATTTCAAATAATAATGATTTCATCAAGCATAGAAGAAAACTATGCAAAATGATATTTTTAAATACAAAATCATAGATATTTCATGCAGATAGGAAATTATTTTCAACAATTGCTGACAATTTTCCCAGCATTTTATTTTATTAATAATCATTCTCGATCGTTGCTGCTGCATCATTCCACTCATTTCATTCAGATGGTAATATATCTCTTGGATAAATGGGCAATTTGAAGGAACATATTGATTCCCTTCTCCGAAAATTATCAAATTGCCAACAAAAAGCATACGTAGTTCGAATATTAAATATTAAATGCAGTAGAATGGTGGTTCATTCGAATAAAAGAGTCGATACAAAGAGTGGTTCATATGTTTAGGTATGAACGAACCTGAGGGCAGGCAATCTTTTGCTGGGGGTCACGAAATAATGTTATAAATTTTTTGGAGCCGTTCCTGTGATTCTGTGATCTGCATTTCTATGCGAAATCCTAAATATCACTGGTGGAGATCAATTTCCAATAGCCAAATGAAACGAATTTAATTCGAAATGATAAAAATGGCAAACCACTTACACCAACAGCAACCACATTTATAGCATTCTCGAGAAGAATTTTGAAGAATTTGCATAAATTAGAAAGAAACATTATATTATATTGAATTTTTAATAAATAAAATTTATTTGTTATTTAATTTATATCAAATTGAATCAACTCGAATTCATTTTAGCGTAAAATTTATAGAATCTTAATGTCGCTTAAAAGTATTCAAAAATTATTTAAGTGCAAAATTTCGAATTATCACTTCTAAAAGAAGAGGAAAGGAAATTTATGAGAAAATGCTGCAATTCTTAATGGAATAATTTAGCAGTTATAAAAGCCAAAAACTGCCAAAAAGGAATTATAAATAATTTAAAAAATAGATTTAAACAAATTAGTTAAAAAACAAAAACAAGCCAGTGAAAAGCGATGTTCTGACTAATCCTTTTTCTTCTCCTTCGAACAGCACTTATCATTTCTGGCTTTCATTGACAATTAGGATCTACTAACCATTTCTGACTTGGCTGGTTTTACGGACTATTAGAACTTATCACCGCAAAAAAAAATCGTTTAGTGATAATGGAATACAAGTAAGATCCGAAATTTTGAGCAATTCTTTCAATATGGCAAGAAATGAAAGTTATTCTTTGCATTGCTTACTCATTCCATGACAACGAATATAAATTACCAAGTATTTCACCTTCTAATAATTCTCACCACTTTCGAACAGGAAAAAATTTTCACAAAAAATAAAAACCCTATAAAAAATAATAAATCACTGCCATTCCCTCTCTCTCAATTTATTATCGATGGTAATTTTGCCTATCTTTATAAAGTTTTTAAAGAAAAATTACCATAAAAAAATTTTAGAGTCTTAAAAATTTAAAAAAAACGGTAGAAAAAATGAGAAATTTAGGAAGGAAATAAAACATTTGCAATTAGCGTCAAATATATAAATTTCTGGAATCAACGAACTGCATTTGCATTAAGTAAAATATAATAAAAATGGTTTTTTCATTTTTTCCCTTTTTTTGCAAAAAATCTTATTGGAAAATAAAAAAACGCATTCAATCGTTTTCTCATTCTTTTCATTGAATTTGCATTGAAAAGAATCACTAATGAAATCTTTTCTTTTTTCATTCTTTAAGAATTTATTTTGGTTCGAATTCTTCTTTCGAAACGCTTTCACTATTCAGGGTGAGCTTCGCTCCACTGGTTTACCAAACCAGACGAATTTTAGCGGAGAACCAATCACTTAGCGATAGAAGAAGCAGGATTTGGGCTGGATTTTTGAAAGACAAATTCATCCCTGTTGGAGAGTTCGAACACAAGTGTAGACGCTTAGAAATATGAGCGAAAATGCACTAACCCATCCCACATATCTCCAAATTATAATGCAGTTATCCATATTTAGTTCGCATTTGCTTTTCTGAAGGAAAATCCGCGAAAATTAAAATCAAAATTTCTAAAATAAAAATGAAAATTTAATACAATTTTGCAATTTTACAAACATCTTTTTTCTAATATCCAAATTATAATAAAAAATTTTTTTCAAATTTCATTTCAACCTATTTTTTATTTTTCTTATTGTTATTATTGTTATTATTATTGTTTCTTAAAATCTTATCGAAAACTAAGCTATAAACGTATTTATTTTTCTTCTAATAGAATGCGCCAATTTCTGCTTCGCGCCGGCGCCACAAACTGTTAGAATGAGAAATCTTTCCGCAGAAAATTGTTTAGCGTTAGAAGCGCAAATCGGCCGTCAACAGTATTCCATTTTTATCTCTCAAAAAATCTGTTTAAATATCTTCAAATTTTTGTCAATTTTTAAACGTATCACCTTAGCAGTTGTCTATTTATGCCTCTGTAAGACTAAAGAATCTCTCAGTTGATTTTTCCATGGGTAAGAATTCTTCAAAATTTCCTAGAATTTTCCAAAAGGACCAGCCAATTGCAGTTTCCCATCTCTAAGACAAAATCCAATATTTGCGAACAAGATTATAAAATTTCGCAACTTTTCGGTTGGTTTTTCCTTAAAACTATAGAAGCAAAAATTCTAATCGCATTCTAAATTCTAATTGCAACTCATTTCATCATTCAATTTTCAACTATTTTGCTATATTGGCAGATAATATTTTGCAAATCTCTCAGGTTTTCGAAACTTTAGCCAATTATAATATAGAAAAAAATTTAGAAAGCCTTCGAGAGTCAAAAAAATGGATCACTGCAAAATAAAACAGCAAATTACAGCAAATTTATCCCTCTATAAACGATATAAAAAAGAAAAAAAATCAAAATATTCAACTGATATTCGATTCTGCAAATTTCAAAGTTTCATTGGTTATCGGTTCACAAATTCTTAGCAGAAAAATAATCATTATCAATAATTCTAGATTTAAATTATTCACTGACGGTGAAAAAAAATGCTTGAAAAAAAACCCAACAGAATCAAGAAAACTTTATCTCACAACAATGATTTTCAATGATTCCCGAAGATAATCAAATAAAAGAAAATAGCTAAAATTTCATTTAAACAAAATTCAATTGAAAACTACTCATTCGGAAATAGTTTCAAATCAATTCTAATGCTAAACAAGCCAATGAACCAAATCAACAAACATATCACGCCTCATCAAATTCAGTAAGAAGAAGAGATAAAAAGCTTATGTAGTTAATCGTTTAATCCAATAACTGCACTAGACATGAAAAACACGATTTTATTTCAATACGAGCAATATTAGAAAAAGAAACGAAATTTTAACAAAATATCTGGTTAAAACATGAAAAAGATCAGTAGCAAGCAATAAGATTCTTCCTCAAAATTGAATAACCTGAAAAATTTTTTAGAATTAAAGAAGCAACTTCTTTCAAATGATATCTCTAGAATTACTGGTAACTTTTCGTATAATTTGCAACTTTAAATTTTATAAAAGCACGAATAAAATTATTTTTAAAATTCTGAGCAAAAAGATTAAAAATTTTTAAAAAAAATCAAAAATAATACATATTTACTTTATTCATTACAATTAAAAATAAAAAAAAGCAGAAAACGATTAAAACCTGTCCTCGAGCTTTCTTTTGCCCACCAAGCTCAAAATGTTTGCAACGTTTAATGGCTAACTGCTTTCGATGTTTACAGTCAGAGCACTCCATTCTCAAAACAATTTTTTTGGTCGTTTTAGCTTTCTTCCTCAAAATTGGTTTTGTTTGACCTCCAAAACCTTTTTGTTTATTATCATAACGTCTTCGACCTAAATTAATCGCATAAACTGGAAAAATAGAAAAATTAAAATTATTATATGAAAAAATTTTTAGAACAATAATGCCTAAAAAAAATAAAAAACACATAGTAATAAAAACATAATAACAAAAATATTAATCAATATTTATGAAAAACGGAAGGTGTGAAAAATATAATATAATAAAGTTATATAAAAAATATAATAAAGTTAAATACTAGAAGAGCAAAACGAAATCAAAAAATAGTTTTAAAATCCGAAAAAATAATTAATCTTATATAAGAAACAACTTCAAATGAATTCTCCAAAAGTCTTCCAAATGAGTTCCATAGAACAAAATCTTTACGAAAGAATGACCACTCAAAGGCATCAATCTTACAGATATGAAACCAATCCCGACAAAAGATGGAATATAATTCCATCGAGATTTTTTAATAAAAGAAAGTATAATGGTAATATGGCAATATTTATCACCGTAGCCGACCACACTTGAAAAAATTCGCCATTTATCCTAATAACCCCCTTGATAACAATAATTATTATAAATGTTTTCATAACAGAAATATTAAACCTTGTGCATATGACGATTCTTTGCCTTTTTTATATTGAACCACCTTATGCACTGTGTGCTTTCTGCAATTTCCACTGCAAAAGGTTCTTCTAACTTTTGGTACGTTTACCATTTAACCTACAAAAAAAGAATTAAAAAATAAAATAAATACAAATAAATCAAAAATAAATAATAATGATTGTAGTAATACCACGAAATCTTATCTTATAAGCGATAATCATTTATTCCCTTAAAAATAATTTATGGCTTAGTGGATCGCGACTTTACAATTCGGAGAGCCGATGCTGAGTTCCACTCCCGGCAGGAAGAAATAAAAAATCCAAAAATCCGATTGATGCTGGCGACCCACCCATACTTCTAGCGCCGAGGGACTTCTCGGCATATCTGTCTTAGCGGGACAAGCCGGAGGAGCAAGTTTAACAAATAATGATGAAGAATGAAAAACAAATTGACTGCCAAGTAATAAAAATAAAAATATTATATAAATTACGATAATAATAATATTAATAATAATAAAATTAAAATTACAAGCATATTTAAAAAATCTTAAAATTAAAAATTTTTTGCACATTAAATAAAATTTAAAAAATTCTTAGCCTACTAAAGAAAATAAATAATATCAAATTTCAACTGAATAAAGAATTATGAAACAAATTTAAATTAAATAAAACCCAGTTCGAGCCAAGCCAAAGCAATAAAAAATAAGAGCCAAAAAACATGGAGCCTAAATTCTTCTATCGTAATGTGGTTTTCGCCTTAGGAGTTATTTAACGAACAATAATAAAAAAGCAGCCATATATCACCCGTTGATAGCCAACGCCATGCACATCCATGTGTCATCGGATAATTTCCTCAGCGTAAACGTGACACTCTTCAGGAAGTGCCACGTATCTTTAGTGTGGCTTTACAGGTTGAAAAATGAGACATTTTTTGTGCGTTGGAGTGCGCGAGAAATCTATGTCCTTATTTATGTCGCTATTGTCCGTGGCTTTTAAAGCCGTTGATTACAAGGCTTTAGCGAGATATTCTGGATGATTAACCACAATATTTGAGATATAAACGGAGTAGCGAAGTAGTATGTTCGATGATGATGTTCGCAACTGGCAGGTTTACAGTTATCAGGGGCACCTATTTCCTTTCTATGGTTTTTTTTAAAACAAAGAAAAGCCAAGATTTTAGTCGAAACACTCGCATGGTACTATAAAGTGCTCAAATTCGACGTCAAAGAAGAAAAGAATGTTCACACTTAAATGTCACTTCTACTTGATATTTCTTATTCATATTCTAATAGCGATTTCAGGTTAGGTCAGTTCCGTTTCCTGTTAGGAAAATCAAAAGGTAGATAGCAGCCTTTAAGTTTAATGACTTTAACTCTCATCAACTTGCAGTTCAGAAAGCCTGTAATGCTTCAATAAAGGAAAATTGGCATTTCTCGGTTAAATGAGTACCGCTGGTGAAGGATCGTATATTTTTCTTTATACTTATCACCAGATTAGCACCAACAATTCATTCAGTCAACTTTATTCGAGTACAGTTGGGATGGAATGTTTCAATGGGTTGTTGCTTAACTAAGAGCGCCAATGTTGAGGTTCGATTCCCCGCAGGAATACAAAAATCCGAGTGATGCTGGTGATTCATCTGTACTTCTTTCACCAAGGGACTTCCTGGCATATTACCTAATGTGACAAGCCAGTGGAGCGAGTTTAACCAGTAATGGTGAGGACTTTTTAAAAAAAATGAAAATTCGAGTAGAATATATTGCAACAGTCTATACTCGTAAATGAACGATCATGGAATTAGCGAAACTTGTGTTGAAGAATGAACGGCAACCGATACGCTTTCAGTCCGTGTCTATAATTTTATCCGTTTTTATTTTCTCTAAATATTCAAATTAGTTAAAATTGCGATAGATAAATAATGAAAGAAAAAACAACCGTAAAATTATTTTAATTATGGAAAGTTCTTATCTACCACTCGGTCGAGAAATATCGGAAAATTGTATTTTTAGCACGTATTTCACTTCAGAAAATCGTAGTGAACACGGAACTCGTGAGGTTCACGTTTTTTGCATTTTTCACCTCACGTTAAAAAGAAATGAGAAGCTAAATGAGAATTATTTAGGCATTAATATCAACTCTGTAATATCAAAGTTTCCTAAAAGTGATAATGAAGATTGAAATTAATCATTAAATTAACACGGTCGCTTCCTTTAATAATGCTTGGTACCATAGGTGAGGGGTTTAAATCAACAAGGCCAGAGGGTTGCTTCCTTTAATAATTCTTGGTACCATAGGTGAGGGATTTACAAAAAATAATGAAGGAGTTTAGGAGGAACTGAAGACAAATGCGATACGTGTTTGTCAGGATTTTACAAAACAAAGCGAATATATCTTCAACAATTCGAACTATGTCATTTCATTTCATTTTTTTCCTTTATTTTTTCAATTAAAAATTTCTTATTTTATTCCAATAATGTTTCAATTCGCTATAATTTCCCGAATCAAATTTTCAATAATAAATTGGTTAGATGAAGGAGAGGGGAAGAGGAGGACGAGGGGGGGGGGGAGAAAATATTTTTTATCGGTTCCTTTACAAATTTATGCAAGATTTCAATTTCACTGGTCCATCCATCCCTCATTGCACCGCTGTGTTTCATCGACCTCGTCTTGACCACGTTGTTGGAAATTCTACTGTACTGTAAGAGAGAATTTGGTTGATACTTAATTTCATCTTAAATCGACTTTGTCCAATTTTTTTTAAATTTGCTCAAAAATATCCTAAATAAGAAAATACCATAAAATTAATGATATACATACATCAAATGATAACTTATCAAGAAACTTACCTTCATAGGTTAATTTTATGATTTACTTATCCAAAGGTGAAATTTAATTTATAGAAGAAGAATTGCATAATGGTTATTTTTGTTACCACGAAAAAATCATTCTTCCTATTCGTTGTTCATCAATAAATATAAGTGAATAAATGGTAATTGTTGACGGGTTTAATCATGTCGGTGGCGTGAACCGAGCCCTTATTTCTTAACACGACACAATCTTTGGCTATTGATAAAACTATTTATGAAAAAAATATACATGAAATAAATATGAAATACCAATTTAAAAATCACTAAAGAATTGATTAATTTTTTTTCCAACAGCTCGCACCAGTGCTGATTTGAATAGTTCCACTGGCTATATTGGTTTTCTTTAATTCGTTCAAAATTTTTCAGGATGATAATGCAAGTACAGTTGGAAATCCAAGCAGTACAAATCATATTTTTCCAAAAAAAAACGATTATGGTAAAAGACAATTTTGATTAAGTTTCTTATGTTATTTATATTTTTTCCCCTTAGATGGAACCATAAAAAAAATTTTCAATATTTATTGAATTTGTTCACCTAAGAGTTTTGAGTAAATATAAATATAATAAAATTCAAAAAATAATAATAACTTAAAAATGACCATTCAACTATTATCACCATTTAAATAATAATATATAATTGGGATTAGGCACTGGCCCTTATCTCTTATGAACTATGGAATCCAAGAGAATCCATAAACACCAAAGAGTTTGACGATCATTAAATTTTGAATTATTCGATTCTAATCAAAAAGGCGCTGTAATTCTCCCCAAAAATCGCTTAAACTATCTTTTTTAAGCAGATAATCACATAAAAAAAGTAGTATATGTATGCGATCAGTGCAAAAAAAGAGATGAAGCATTTGCAACTGATGATACAAACGAATCTTTAACGATGATTTCGGATGAAGCACTTAGTACTACTGATTCAAACTCATTTAAGGTTCATTAGCTTTGAGAAAGTTCATTTTCATATAAGTGGAAATTTACTGGAAGCATCAGATAAACCAAGCTTTGGACCATCAATTATATTTGAAACGATCTAGTTAAAATTCATAATTTATTATAAATTTGCAGAAAATATCGGAAACGAAAAACAGAGAAAGCAGTGAACCGTTGAAAACAGCTCGGCATGCTTATCCAGAAATGTACAAATTTTCCGAATATCACTTTGATAAATTACATGCATGAGATCCGAATTTATTATAAATTTTTGTGGATAAATAGGAATAAAATATGGTTTGGTGGCTAAAAAATTCATTGATTTTTATTGATATGTTCCTTTCTTTTCTTACAGAGAGAACGGATGTTTTAATCCTTCTTTTGTATCCCATGGATACCTCTGCAGTGTGGTGAGACCAAACGGCCTCTCTTGGAAGCCTATGGAGTTTTTCGCTGAAAAGTTTTTATGGTTTCCTTATCTATATTCATAATTAAAAAGAAGTTACCGAGTTTCATTTAGAGATTAAACGAAAAGATAGCCAGCGGACCTCAATTAAAGAAACTTCGTCCCAACAGCCTACACCGCCCTTGGTTAGCCTATTTCAACTATGGTTCACTCCCGTTTCACTAGAGATTCATTCAGGAATAGGCGCATAGGTGAGTCGCCAGTGGTTTTTTTCGAATTCACCTTTATGTTTGCTCTTATCAAATGAAAATCGAAATTCATAAATTTTTTTTCGCCTAATCAACAATCGTTGCTTCTAATCTGAGATATAATTTTAACACGACAACGAGATTCTTCATAAAGATTTTTTTGCTCACCATTTCTAGTTATGCTAGTTCCACGGGCCTCGTCGGACCAGAGAAACTGTGCCAGGAAATCACTGTAGAATTACATGTCACCTGGGTTTTAGAATATTCAGCTCCTGTCAGCTCCGAAATAAGGGTAACAATCCATTGAGTCATTCCACTCTCATTTAAACAATGAAAATGGTTAATGCAATTATTTTAAATAATAAATCATTGTAACGTTGTAAAATAAAAAAAATTTATTGGTGCGGGCCACAAAATTGTCATTTACTGTAGCGGGCTGCCTAAACTCACCATCTTTTTTTTTTAATGAAATTATTGCACCTCAACGAGGTGAGGTGACTTGGTGCTCGGTGCAATTGCTCGAAATGTTAATTTGGTGTTCGGTGATGAAATTAAGCGTAGCGATAACGCCGAAACGATTATTGAAGAATCGAGAAGTATTACAAAATTATTCAAAATTTTATTTTTCAAATAAAATTGCCGAATGGAAATCGAATTATTCACGTGAAAAAGCTCGCGAATTTTTTCTCAAATTTCCAAAATCGAATGGTACCAATTTCCTAAATTTTTATTTTCGAAGTTTTCTTGCAATTACAGTAGTCGAAAAATAGACGTAAAATTTTTTATATCTTTTAGTTTATTTCTGTTCGTCATTCTTTCCTCATTCTCGCTTTTGTCCTCCTCTTCATATCCTTCTTCATCTCATTTTCCCTTTTTTTCCTCCTCTTCATGCCCTTCTTTATCTCGTTTTCCCTTTTTCTCCTTCTCTTCGCATCCTTCATCCCTCCTCATTTTCCCTTTTATCTTTCTCTTCATATCCTTCTTCATCTTCCTCTTCATATTCTTATTTTTCTTTCCATCCTTTTCTTTATCTCCTTCTTCGCCTTATTTTTTTTTCGTTCTTCCCTTCATCTCCATTTTCATTACCACTTTGCTCCATTTGTCCCTTAGTTTATTTCTTTTCATCATTCTCTCCTCATTCTCCCTTTTGTCCTCCTCTTCATATCTCTCTGCCATTTTCCTTGCTTTCTCGCTTTTGCAGGTCGACTTATTAAAATCTATTTTCTTCTTTTTTGGAATATTTTTAACGTTTTGGCTTCTTTCATTGAGGCTTTTTTTTCCTTTTCACTTTCATTTCTTTGTTTTTCATTGTTTTTTTCCTCTTTATCACTATTATTAGGCTCTTCCCGTTTGTAATCCTCAGATTCTTTCGTATTGGTAGTCGTCGATGGCGGTTTCGCACCTTTTTCTTCAACCACACTAAAATATTTATTAATGGCTGAAATATAGGTTTAAATGAGTGTGGCGAGCAGTATTTGAAAATAAGGATTTATTTATAATTCTTTAATTTTTCGGATATTTTCCTCATCTTTAATTGTGTATTTATTTGATACTGTTGACAGTTGGATTATTCAATAAAAAATTAATAAACCAATAAATAAAAGAAATTTAATCAGTTGAAAGCAACGAATTGAAATAAAATTATCGGAGGATTTTTTAATTTTTTTTAAGTTTTAGTATAAGTAACAAACATAAGATGATTACTGTAGTATAGTGGTAGGAGCCTTAGCGGCTGTGACTCCTAAACTGGGCCTCGATAGAGTCCAGGAACACTCTGTCTAGAAGAGCGCAGTGGTAGAAAAGTACCGCTCGGAGCCCTTTCGAGCTTCTGGTAGAGAATCCAAAGTTGAGGATGAGCCATACTGTACACCGGGAGAAAGGGTTTTCGTTTTACATTTATGATATTATTACATTATCAAAATTTATGGTGAATGGAGTTACTGTAACACGAAGCAATAGAATACGGCCTAATCAACCTGGATTCTGCATACGTGCGCCCTATGTTGAATTCCAGACCTTGGAAACAAAAATGATAGAATTAAATGGACAAGATGTCTGGTGCGTTGGTGAATCGTGGCAAGACTTCCAATGAGAATCAAAGCTTGCATTCGAATCGGGCCATCGCACCATGCTTTATCAGACGGTTGCCTGATGGAGAAAGCAAAGGCGGGTAGAATGGGTCAGTATACTGGCTCAGGTGAATTGTTGCTCTATTCAAAGCGCCGATGCTGAAGTTCGACTCCCGATAGGAATAAATCTTTTTTTTAAAAATACGGATAATCGACTTACCTTATTTTTTTTTGTTGCGGGTAGAATCCCTGGTATATTTGTCTTATCAGATAAGCCAACAAGGCCTAACCATTAATGCTGAGTGCTCTTAAAAACTGAAGGTTTAAAAGAAAACATACATATGATAAAAGATGGTCGTTTTGCATTGGTGTTTTTTTTTTAAACAGTCTTCACCATTACTGGTTAAATTCGCTCCGCTGGCTTGTTGCATTGGGCAATATCCCAGGGAGTCCCTTGGCGATAGAAATACAGGTGAGTCGCCAGCATCACCCGGATTTTTATACAGGTTTAACCCTGCGGGGAATCGAACAGCGCTTCCAATTGAGCAACTGAGCCACTAAGCCATTCTATCCAATCTCTCATCTGAATATATACATCGAGTATAGAGTGGTGAGTGAACTGGAAACTGATTGATCCATCTAGTCGATATATACATTGGACGTGATTAGGAAGGTTAAAATTAATGAAGGATATTTTAGTTTCGTTTTCAAAAGCTAAAAAGCTTATTTGCTAAAAAATAATTATTGATGCATTTTTGGTGCTAGTATTTTTATTTGTTAATAATTTTTTCTGTTTTATTGCAGGTAAGATTATTTTTACAAAGAGCGATTCAAACGGTATCGCTGAACTAACACTTGACAATCCAGGTGTAAAAAATTCATTGAATGGCTATATGTTTGTTCAAATTGCCGATATTATCGAAAGTTTATCAGACTGGAAACAAGGGCGTTTAATTATATTTAATGGTGCAAATGGTACATTTTGTTCCGGAGGTGATCTTAATTTTGTTAAGAAAATTGCTAATCCGGCTGATGGTTATGTTATGAATCGTTTTATGAGTGAAACATTTGCAAAACTGCGAATCTTGCAATTAATTAGCATTGCTCGTATTGATGGTTTTGCAATTGGTGGAGGTGCCGAATTAACTGTTGCATGTGATTTACGTGCCATGCACATGAATGCAAAAATTGGATATGTGCAGTCAAAAGTTGGCTTTTTTTTAATCGCATAATTTTTTTCTAAAAACACTCACCATTTCTGGTTAACCTCTCTGGATTACAGAACGACACAAATTTTGTTAGGCAATGCTTTGGCTATAGAAAGCGATAGAAAATGAATCGCCAATATCATTCAGATCTTTGAAAGATAGGTTTTTTTCTATCAGGAATAAAATTCTAGGAATTTTTTTCTACATTTTTCCAGTTATTACAAATTTATTGCTTAAAACTTTCAGGTTGGTATAACTCCTGGCTGGGGAACAGCTCATTTATTATTTAAGATACTTGGACAATCTAGAGCTCTTGAATTGTTATCGATGGGAGGAATATTGAAAGCTGACGAAGCAAAAGCGATTGGATTAGCAAATTTTATTTTCGAAAATGACACCGATTATGACGCTTGGGTCCAGCATTTTTTATCAATTGATCCAGTCGTTCTTAAAGCAATAAAACGAATCTCTTCTGGCTTAGACGAACAATCATTTATAAACGATCCAACTGATGTAGAACGAGAAATATTTGTTGAAACTTGGGGTAGTGATGCACATTTAAAAGCTTTAAGTATGGGAAAGAAACATCGATAAAATTCGTTTTTTGATTATTTTACGAGCAAATTTTCATTGTCTTATTGGAAAATCTTTTGAAAATAGTCCCAAATACTGATTAGCCAATAATTTAATGTGATAATAATATGATAATAATTTATAAAAAAACCAAATTTATATTAGTATAAAACCATTTGCTGGTGTTAACTAAACTGAAAATAATAATCCAGAAAACAAACATGAAATTCAAATATTGGCAATAAAAGAATGATCTATGATTCCAGATAGTATCTCGAATAATGTTAATAATCTTATGCTAGTTATCCTTTAAAAATATACTGATTAAATATACTGAGGCAATTGGAGCAAAATTAACATAACTAGGCAATTGGTTCCAATAGGTAATGTTTCGAATAGCCCGATTTATTTGGTTGTAGTGTGCAGTGTCCCATAACATGTTAAGTGAAGAGATTAGAAAGTCTATCAACCTGCTTTAGGTACATAGTACGTGCTCATCGAGCAGATTGACTCTCAAATGATTTCATCCACTTTTTTCAAACATCATCTTCACAACATCGCACAATCGTCACAAAATCGCCTCAAGCTGGGCCTGCTTCGCGCTTCATGTAAATTGATACGTATTTCACTATTTGCTAAATGGTAGATGCGTCAAAAGTGAGGAGGATCAATTAAAATATGAATTGATAAGGAGAGTACGTATAGATATAGGTGCAGCGATATACAAGCCTAGAAGAAAGAATCTGGCTTACTTTCAGATATGGCATCGGAGACGCACCCTTGAGTCATCCTAACCATTAATGGTCGAGTTGTTGGCAGAAAAATTAAGATGTAACCAAACAAATACCAACTTAAATTAGAAATAAATGATCGGCGAGGGATCCAGAATATTATTTAGCATTAATAAATAGAATTTTACACTTAGAGTTTGTACAATTAGATAATTTAAGTGAACCATGCAAGTAAATTATTCATTTGGTCCCGATGAGCATTTAAATTCGCCCTTATACCATGCGAAAAATAAATTTTACAGTCGTCACCAAATGAATAAATATGTGAATTAGTTTTTGATTACATTATAGGTTCAAAGGTGCAAAGAACTAATAAAACAAACTACTTTGAGGTGCATCAGATTAATTTTTAATGTAAATAATGCTAATATAAATAAATATAAATTTGTATATAATTATTTAGATTTTCAATTTTTATTATCAATTATTAGTACCATTGTATTTCGTATTAATTCCGAACGGTTCATTTATAAATTTTTTTTATTTTCGTATTTTAAAAATGAATAATTCAGCGAAAAAATAGTCTCATTATATCTCTCCACTCCACTCATTTCACTGGCTGCTAGCATGAGACCAGGTGGTCACTTGGTCATAGAAACGTACGTGGGGTAAGTGTTGAAGAGAGGATCATTGCTCGGGACGATGATTTGACAAAAAACTTGGTTATACTACCTTGAATATTGATTTATTCTATTAAGCCAAACTTCTTCTTTTAACAGCTCATCATTACTGGGTAGGCTGGCTCCGCTGGCTAGAAAAATAAAATATCTCCAAGCTGCTCGGTCCGACTCATTGGTAATAGTAATAGAAGTCCTTTTCTTTCATTCCATTCCTTTTTCCATCGTCTATATCCATATATCGCTGGTCCCTCTATATATTCAAAATCCTTCCTCACTTTTCCAGTCCAGGTCCAGGTCTTGATTGGCCCTTCTCGCTTTTGAGGCCAACCATCACAGGACTTGGCAAGTGGCGAAATATATGTCAACTCCTGTGCTGGACGACGGAGAACGTGCCCTAACTAGTGAAGGCGACATTATGCGATAATATTAATAAATGTGGTATTTGAGCGAAGATGGATACAGTCATATGCGATTTTATTCAACGGTTCCATAAAATATATCTTAGACATGAGTGGTCAAAGGTCATAGCTTCTTAAAATCTTCCACTCTCATTGGCCATGTTTCGCAACCATATAGCAAGACCAAATGAATTGCATCTACTCGGATCTTCATCTCTATGGTAATTTCGGTTCCATAAAAGTCTCATCTACCGAAAAATGTATTTCTTAATTTAATTTTCGAAATTAAATTGATAATTTTCTTCGAAAATTCACCAATATATTTTCCTCTTGAGAACGTTGCAATTTTTCAGGAAAAACATTTCCTGGGAAAAATTAACACAGCTTATTGGAATTAGGAATGCTCCAGTAGTAAGCTTTATCACATTATAACATACACTTTGCAAAAATTCATACCAGATGCGTAAGTACCAATTGCTAAGATCAGAAGGGCCGTAAAATCACAACTGCATCGATATGGGCCGTAATTTTTAGCCCTTCATCGGGTTCTGACAAGGTAGTGAACTGGTTAAAAATGCTGAATGTAGTCAAGTCGAACATAAGTGGAGAGCTATCAAAATTTTTTTTCAAGAATCTTCGATTATTTGAAAGACATTCTAAATTGTGTTTTTCGAAGAAAATCGCTGAATGGGAATCAAATTATTCACGCGAAAAGGCTCGGGAATTTTTTCTAAAATTTCCGAAATCAAACGGTAAACGATTTTCAGAAAATTTTTATACATTCGCAAATATTTAAAAATATTCAGAAAGTAATCGCATAAAATATTGGAATAAAAATTATTATAAATCAGAATTTCATAAAAGTTTTTGCTTCGAACTGCGGTCGAATGCTTCGAGTTTAATTGCGTCACAGACTCTTCGAAACTGAGATTTAGATGGTGGGAAAGGGCGATCTCTAAATTTTCTTCCTCCTCCTTTCGATTTTACTTCATTGTGAATGGTCGCTTAATAATAACTAATAACTAAACCAACTCTACAAATGATAAATCTTTCACTAAAGGCGAATACCAGTTATCAGGTAAAAAGTGGTTGAAGTGGGAACTGGTTGAGTCAGTTAGGCCGATAAGAGATTTTACCAGGAAATCGCTTGGTTGGAAGATAAGGAAGGTGAATCGTTTCACTAGCATCACTCCGATTTTTGAGATATAAATTTACCTTCGTCGACTCCAATTCAACTCCAATTTTGGCGCTACGATATAGAAACAACTCAGTGAATCATTCTTTAATAATGTAACAAATTTCGCTAATTATCGACTTATATTTAACAAATTTTATTGCAGGCGAGGTTGTTTTTACAAAAAACGATTCAGATGGCATCGCTGAACTGACACTGTACAATCCAGATGCGAAAAATTCTATCAACGGTTATATGATCGTTCAGATTTCTGACATTATTGAAAATTTATCGGACTGGAAGCAAGGACGATTAGTTATATTTAATGGTGCAAATGGTTCATTTTGTTCGGGAGGCGATCTTAATTTTATAAAAGAGGTTGCTAATCCAGCCGATGGATACGTTATGAATCGATTTATGAGTGAAACATTTGCAAAACTGCGAACCTTGCAACTAATTAGCATTGCTCGTATTGATGGTTATGCTCTTGGTGCCGGTGCTGAATTAACTATTGCATGTGATTTACGCGCCATGCATGTGCATGCAAAAATTGGATATGTTCAATCGAAGGTTCGATCATTATTTTCTGATTAGATGAAATTTGTTCGAAAGAGATCTAATTTCGGGCAAATTGGGAAATTTTTGGATCTTATGTGAAAGAAAATTTCTTCATTTATTCTGTATTTTTCTTTTAGCTTTAACTTCTTTTCTTTAAGTCTAGTAGTTTATTTTTTATTATTATTGTTTTTATTTCACGTTTATTGTTCATTTGCAAGTTTCAGTTTGGTATTACTCCTGTTTGGGGGACATCTCACTTGTTATTTAAAATTCTTGGGCGACCCAGAGCGATTGAATTATTATCCTCCGGAAATGTTTTGAATGCGAATGAAGCAAGAACGATTGGTTTAGCAAACTTTGTTTTCAAAGATAATGCCGAATATGATGCTTGGATCCAGCACTTTTTATCGATTGAACCAGACGTTCTTAGGGCAGTAAAACGAATTTCCACTGATTCAGAACATTCGCCTATTAATGATGCAAGCGATGCTGAACGAAAAGTGTTTGTCGAAACTTGGGGTGGTGATGCGCATTTTAAAGCCTTAAATTCTGGAAAAAAACATCGGTAAATAAAATTTTTTTCACACTTAATATAATATTGAGAATATTGTAATTGGTATACACCGCTTCGAAATTCCTCAAATTTTCTCGTCTTTATAGAAAAGAGCTTTGATGAAGATCTAAATGGTAATAGAAAATACTAAAAAGTCTTTTTTTTATGTATTTTTCCTCTGTGATAATTGAGCGATTCCTTACTTTTATAAATGCGGTTAGTGATTTTTCTTTTTTTATTTCAGATATTTAAGTTTGAGAATCGCTGCGAATAGCAATAAAAGAAGATAATTTAGTGGAACATGTATATAAAAAGTAATGATTGTAAAAAATGACCTTGTGAGTCCATATTTTTTTTTTGTGAATAATTTTTCATTGTTTCATTTTATAGAGCGAATTGTTTTATGGCCCAAATGTAATACTTTATTTCCTCAGTAATATGCTAGATAATTTTTTTTCAGTTGATTTGTTTTCTTATTTTCAATTAATGTTTTTGCTGGATATTAGAGGAATCGCTAAATATTATGGCGTGAAATACCTTGAAATAACGCTAATTTGAAGTAAATTATCCAAATTTTTGTTTTTTGAATGAATGAAGGTAGAAAAATTTTAATTTATATTTAAAATCCCACCAAGATAATTTAAATTTTAATATTGACATTTTAACATCGGCATCATAGAATTCTTTGTTAATAGTATTTATTTATTGTGCCTTTATATTTATAAATTATAAGAAAAAGTTTATTTATATTATTTACCTTATTTATATTATCCTTGATCAAGTTGTTTTTAATTTAATAATAATTTCTATTATTTTTATGAAATTTGCCAATAAAAATATTCTTTTGATACATTGTTTTAATTATTAAGAATATGGTCATAATCATTAAGAAATATTTCAGTAATAAACGTGACGGTTTGGTTCACCTTTATAACTAGTTTTTTTTCGTATTGTTAATTTTTCGTCGCTGTTATTTGAAAGATCAGTGTTTGAAAGTAGAGTGCCATTGAAAATATAGTTAGTGTAACTGGACAAAGTTTTATAAATATCGTTGCAAATTTATTTTTTTTCTCGAATCGACATAATTATTTTATTTTTAGTCCATTTTTTTTGAAGTTGGAGATAATTGGATAATATTTTAAAAATGATTTTTTTATTTAATTTTTTTATTTTTCTTGTAGATTATTGATGAATTATTTAGTGGATTTAGTGAAAAAAAAGGGTGATTATCGCCAATACGTTGGCAAATAAAAATGCGAAAAGACTAATAAAAGAGCCAATCGTTTGATATATAATTCGAGGTGATTGTTCAACATACTTTGGTAGCGTTTATTGTTTTTTTTCTTTTTTTCGCAAAATTTGATTTGTTCATTAAATAGAATTCATTTTTTAAAATAAAATGTTGCGAAGCGATCACGTTTTATTTATATTTTTTGAAGTTATTTTTTTTCTATAAATGATTTATTTTAAGCGTTTGTAAGTGCTAAAATCGTTAGATTTTTCTTTTTTTCTTTCTAAATATTTTATTATTTATATTAAATTTATAATTATGACAGGTGTGCTGAGCCTGGAACGTGCGACGGGTTTATGTCTGTCTTATGATGCGATTACGAAGCGACTGATTCTCATTATCTTTTTTAAGAGGGTATACGTTATGGCCTTTTTCTGGAGTATATTTTTCCCCCTCTAAATGCATAAAAGAAATAATGCTAGAAATTTAGCAGTTTTAACATACAAGAAATATGCTATTTTATTTTCATCTTGGTTATATAGGTTTATAGCTCTTAGGAAATTTATAGTGTTGTTGTTGATCGGAGTATTTCAATTTTGAGGCTGGTGTTTTGGTTGTGTTGGATTGGAATTCGAATTTGCAATTCGGCCTCATCACTGTTGCTGTTTTTTAAGAGTCAGTCTTCACCATTACTGGTTACTCTCTCAAACTCTCTCCACTGACTTTTCGCATTGCGCGGTATGTCAGAGAGACTCTTGGCGACAAAAGTAGATGAGTCGCCAGCATCATCTGGATTTTTGTACAGGTTTACTCCTGCGAGGAATCGAACTTCAGCATCGGCACTCACAATTGAACAGCAACCCACTCAGACATTCTATTCCCAACGACAGTGTTAATCTATTGAACTATTCTTCAGTTTGTTACTCATTAAATATTAGTTTTATCTCAATATCTTCTTAATACTTAGTATCTTAATACTGAGCTACACATCGGGTTTTTCCTTTGCTGGCCAATTTGCTGACGTTTTTTTCTGGATATAATCCTCATTGTCCTCCGACCTAAGACGAAAATATTCTGCATGAATATTTTCGCGAAATAGCTGCTGCAAAACAGCTCGCACATACTTATTTCAATTAAATTTACTTTATTCCATAATTTTTTTATTCCATAATTTATATAAAAATTACCTTATTTAAAATATAAAAAATAGAAGGCGGTGCTGAGTACCACTTGTCGCCTATTCAATGACGCGATGGTCAGAAAATTATTTTTTATGAAGAGTGAATGGCAAATGTCTCATTTAAAGTGGTTAATGTGTTTAAAGAATATAATTTAAGATGGAAATATAAAAAAATGTGGCAAGGAGATTTGCGATAGAGAATATTTCAGAAACTGACCAGGAATAAATCAACAACGTCGACAGAGACGATTTTTGCAAGTCGAATTATTCGAGTTTTACAAATCATGGCTAACGAAGGAAGTCATTTCAGCGATTGTGGTTTTCCTTAAAAAATGTCATTTCAACGATTGTGGACTTCCTTAAAAAATTTAAATTGATTATTGCCAAGGAAATATCTCGAAAAAACGGAAGATTGCTTGGGTTTGTTTGCATTAACAACGGTGAGAAGAGGGAAATAGGAGATTTGGGTTGAGGGCCAATTCAGAGAAAAAGTTCGTGATGTTGAACATTTTTCAATGTTATTGAGCAGAGTGCAAGATGCAAGCCACATAACCCAGTTATTTCTTTATTTACGCTATGTCAAATTTTTGACTCGGGAAATCGAAGCTCAGCGCATCGGTGCTGCTTATTGAGGAAAAACCCACTGTTTTGAATCAGCATTTGGTATTATATATTTTGCAGTAACTGAAGATGAAGAGGTATTAAAGCTTGAAAGATGCAACAACTGGCATATCGACATATGAAAATATAATTTCGTATCAAAAGTAATTAATAACCTCTAATTAAACTGGAATTTGGTGTCGGTAATAGCATTAGCGCCAGATGGTGCTAAAAATATGGTCGGTTTAGAAATTGGGTCCATACAACAACTTCATCAGGAGAAGATATTAAAAAATTCGTATAATTTCACTCTATCATAATGAATAAATTTAATTCAATTTTATGCCATATTAGCTGAATCTGATTATGCAAAATTAAAAATTTTTGCGAGGATGATTATATCGATTTTTGGTAGCATTTGGTGCCGTATTTTCTCGAAATCTGGTACTATATATTCTTGGTGCCAACAGACATTCTCGAAAATGAAGTTGTTAAATCGAAAAATTGGTCGCACCTAAATTATTTGCATCTGAGAAATTTTTTACAAATTAGAACATCGAATTTAAGACCAAATATTAAAAAAAATTTCTTCTTCAGTACAAGTACAATTGTTTTAAGGCAAGGGCGTGGAGAAAAAGTTCGTCTTTTTCAACTGATTTAGTTCTTTTCATTTTTATTGTCCGCTAATGTGTCCGCATTTTGATTGTTGGTTGTACCAATCAACGAATAAATAATTCGACAAAACTTTTACTAATAACTATTATTAACTATATTTTTAATATTTTAGAGTACCTGGGCACCACATCCATGAACGAAATAACTAACTGTATCATTTAATTTAAGTTAATGTTCAGCTAGAGTTTCCAGTAGGAATTATTCTCGCTGCCACTGTAAGTTTCATGGGTGACTCGCAAAAAGTTTAATAACCCTCTGATTTTTAAGATAAGGAGGTGCGATGACTCAGCGGGTTATTGCTGCCATTTCGGAGCGTCGATTCTAGTGTTCTATTCTCGGCAAGGATAAAGTGCTCTTTCAGAAATGCGAGCAGCACGGCCGATCCACTCGTAGCTTTGTCGCCATTCCCTAGCGAAAAATTTGTCTGATAAAGCGGCGATGCAAACGAAATGCTAAATAAACGTTCTTTAAAAAATATAAGTTTTAGGCATAAAATGATTTATATCTTAGTAGAAGAGTTAAGTTTTGTCTTTATTTTCACTCATTTAAAGTACCATTTTAGCATTAAGAAAAAGCTGCTTCATCTCGGATTATGCGAGCTGTTTTTTCTTTTTTAAGACCTCTTACCGCTACTGGTTGGACTCGCTGCTCGCTCCGCTGGCTTGTCCCAGATAAATATCCCAGGGATTCCTTGGCGGTAGAAGTATAGGCGAGTCGTCAGCGTCACCATCTAGATTTTTGGACGTGGGGATTAGAACCTCACTCCTGTGGGGCTTTGAACCTCTTACCATCGGCGCTCCGGCAACAACCCGCTGAGTAGTCACTCTGCTGCCCATCGTAGATAAGCTGCATTAGAATATAAATTGCATAATTGGTTGAATTGTTCGAAATTTTCAAATTTTCTATTGCTGAAGTCTTTCGAGATTAGCATATTTGAAAATCACTGGTTTTATTATTTGTCTATGCCAGTGGTTTTATTATTTGTCTATGCCAGAAATAATTTGCTAAATTTGCGAAAATATTTTAAAATTCTATTTATCAAAAATTTTTCATATTTCTTTTGTATATAAAATTATTATATAAATATTATTTAATATAAAATTTAATAAATTTAATTATGTGAATGAAATTTTATCAATTTTATCTCATTTATTATGACGCGGATTCGTTCGTTGAAACGAGTTTTCCAGCGAAATTAATTTGATAATTTAATGTGAAAATTTGAAATCCTTTTTGTAGTTCATTTCATTCGGATAATTATCTCTTCCGATTCTTTTTTTATTGCTATTTTATTGTGGTTTTAATTTGCTAAGAATCGACGTTTTGAATC